ATGCAAAACTGCTTTTATTGATTTGTTAAAAAAACACAGAAAAAGAAAGAAACATTGCCATCCTGACATCTAGCTTGGTGCATGAATTTATGCTTTATGCGCACTTGCCTCTAAGTTCATTATTGAGCTGTGCCAAGTGGAGTACTGGACAGCACACCAAAGGCCCTCCCACCCAGCTTCTGTTTTGTGTCACGAACATGGATTGAGTTTACAGAGCCAGACTTCCATGGGATTTATCTCTTCTCTGCTGACATCTAGGTTAACATTTGAGGTAACAGGCCATACAGTCCATAAAAGGGATTACACAGCATCATGGTCTCACCAAAATGGGCTCCCCTGTTTCATGGTAGTGTAGCTTAGAAGGCCATTGAAAATGAGCACAACTATCTGATAAAAGACAAAGCTCCTCCTTTCCATAGCCATGGCTATGAAAATGACATTAGTTATACCTTTAGTATCCTTAAGGCTAAAGGGAGAGGCACACGTGACCCCTTGGTCTCGCAGTTAAAATAAATTTCATTACAAAATGTTTGTTCTCCTGTCATCTTGCTAGCTGGGTGCTTCAGGAGCTTGGATAACACATGTTCAGAACTGTACACAGCTTGCTGCCCATCCCCCAAAATTAACAGATTCTGAATCTACAGCTTGTGCAAGGTACGCTGACGTGTCTGCAAAGGTTTGCTTTGCACTGAATGGATCTGCCTTAGCTTCAAAATACATCAGCAGCATAGAAAATCTCCCTCTATCTTAAATGAATCCCTGGAGGCAATCTGGGTTTAACTGTATGCAAAACCAAGGTTGTTTCTTGTTTAGGGCACATCCTGAAGGTTCTGAAGGCTTGCAGGTGTTCATGGTGCAAAAACTGGACACAGGATGCTGAATCCCAGATGTGTGAGGCTTTGCAGAAACCACCACTCATGTCCAGCCACATAAATCCACAGGGTTACAGAGATGATGGAAGCTGCGCTGTGAACATCTGCAATGGGAGGTGTTGCTTCAGAGGAAGCATTTGCTCATGCACAGGAAAACTGCATGTGAATTAACTAACGTGTGAATTGAAAGTGGATTAGCACTGCCACGTGAATGGATGGGGATCCTTTGGATTCTTCAGAATTAAACTGGTCCTAATTTGTTTCAGCGTAATTATGAAAGAGGATGTTATACAGGCTTTAATGAGATCTAATGTTCTCACCACAGAACTTAGCCTGGGTTCATTTCTTATGTCTCTCAGCAGGGGTGGGATTGGAATGTAGTGTTGAATTTTTTTAGTAGGAAGCTTGTATTGTCTTTACCTCGGGTTTTAATAACTGATTCTGATAATTATGTAATCTGGTTTTATTGTGATTATACTGTTTTTAATCACAGGATATAAAAGCTCTGAATAAGCAATTAATTAATCCTCACCAAGTCCCTGCAAGGTTGGTAAAATCTTTGTAAGAGTCACCATATGACTTTTCCCATGGAATACAGCTAGGCAAAGCAGTGCAATGAGGCACGGGAGGGAAGATGGGTATCTACCTGTACTGAATGGATGGGTGGAGTTAAGCAAGAAAAAGATGTTATTGACCACTTTAGAATTTGGTTGCACCACCACAGTGCACACAGGAGGAAATGTCAGGGGAACTCCAGCAATCTGGGCGTCCATTTTCTGTCTGTCCCAACCCACCCCACTTATAGCAGCACTGCACGCAATGTGCCATAGTGGGAACAGCTAATAGCAGGGTGTGCATATCATGGATTAGAAGTAATTTATCTGATTTCCTTTTATTTTGAAATAGGATTTAGCCATTTAAATTAGATTTTGTTAAAAAAAAAAAAAGGGGGAAGAGGAAGAAAAAACCATTGAGCTCCCGACTGCTGTTTGCAGGCTGACTGCGTGTTGACAGATTGCTCTGCTGGTGTTGCAGTCCCTTCTCTGTCAGAGCAGCTTCTTTCTTTTCCCCCATGGATAGTTTATTTTCTGCTCAATGCTAAGTCTCGTGTTTGTCTTACTTCTTTAAATGAGAGCAAGCACTGCGCTTTTGTCCTGCTCCTTTTCCAGTGCCATTTTGCTGATCTTCTCTGTGTGAATCTGAAAGGTCAGGAAAACAAATCAATACGGAAAAGGACCTCCTGCCCCTTTTAACCTAACCTGTGGGAGGGAGGAGGGAGAAATAGCCAATGACATGAAAGGGAATTTTAAGTATGCCCAAAAAAAGCGCAGTGGGAGTGAGGGTTTGGAAGGACAGGTGTCAACAAGACCAGCCTCTGCATTTCACAGCACGTCTTTATGAACTCACGGTCATCTCCTCTGCAGCAGCATGCAGGGGTGATCCATACAGCTGTAAGGCATCGAACCTGTAACAGTTCTGAGAGGGAGGAGGCGATGGCCCTCGTGCTTTTGCATCACTGACTGTGAAGGGCTTTGCTGGTTAGAAACTCACCACGCGACCTGAATGCCAGCGAATGGCAACAGCTGCCTTGTCGTGGTGAGATGGGCCTCGGTTCTCTCTGATGCCCTGTCCTACTTCCACTGCTGCAGGTAAGCAGCTCCTCTTGCTGTGGATAGTCACCGTGCAGAGCAGAAGGGAACTGGAGAAAGGTTCTGTGCCTCTACAGCTGGATGCTGTCACTGGAACAGTGAGGCCTCGTCAGAAAACCAATATTATCGTTTTCTGTTAAATGTTTCAATGTTAAACCTGAATGTTATAGCCAAGGCTACTAATTATGACCTCTGTTCCCAACATCCACCCTCAAGTATTCATTTGAGAGCCTCCCAGTACTGGGCACTCCTAGGAGCTTCCTTCATTATCAATGGAGAGGAAATAGCTATCCTGTTCCTCTCCAATGGTGAAGACTTGTAGATTGCTCATACAGGGTCTTTGTGCAGGTGTCTAACATTAGATGCAGCATTTCTCTGCAGCAATTAAAACGTTATCACAAAATGCAAAACACCAAAGCTCTATGTTGAAAATCAACTCTATCACAGCCAAAAAAAATTGATAAATGCACAAGACAATTCTTTTGGAAAGAGAACAGGCTGCCCAGGGAGGTGGTGGAGTCACTGTCCTGGAGGCGTTCAGGAAATGTGTGGATCTGGAACTGAGGGTCATGATTAGTGGGCATGCTGGGGATGGGCTGGTGGTTGGACTTGGTGATCTTACAGGGCTTTTCCAACCTGCATGTTTCTATTATATTCCATTCGAAAAGAGCAGGAGTCAATCACATCACCTCAGCCCTCGAGTGTCCTCAGGTTGGTGTTCCTGGAGTGGCTGTGGCATTTCAGCTGTTGATGAGTCATGTAGTCACACAATTGTGGCATGATGGGCTTCTCATCACATGTAAGCTATGTATATTATCTGCACAAATACACTTGCCATGTGGCTCACTACAGGCACTGACTCTGGGATACCAGTCTTTCTCTCTTTAACAATTCCACAGAAGACCTTGCATGAACCTTGCAAGTCAGCCAAAGTTGGTTTCGTTTGGAGTAGCTGCTGCTTGTTTTGTTGACCAGTTTGAGTTTGTTTCTGATTTTGCTTCATATTCTTCTTCCAGTGTGGCTTGCAGAAGTTGCCTAGAAACCATCTCACATCAGCTCACTCATCCAGGATGCACAGCTTCCCATATGCCAGCAGAGAGATAAGCTTAACTTCCTAATTTTTTAGAGAAATGCAATTAACCCTCCTTCCCTCTCCCAAGGATGTGATATCTGAGAACTCACATTAAAAAAAAAAAAAAAAGATTGCTGAAGAAAGTCTGGAGTGCTTATCGTGTGGGGGGGTGTGGGTAGAGAAGGAAGAGAAAGCTTTCCCAAGGCAGTGGCAGAGCCAGAACCATAACAGCCCCCACTCAATAGTCCTTAACACAACCCTTCACAGCCTCTAGTGACAGAACAGCTGCAGACTTAGTTTGACCAAGATTTACACTTTCATGTCCCTGCTTGTTAAAATACTATGCCCTTCACCACGTGTCCCATCCAGAGCCTTCTCTCAGCTCTTCCTATCTTTCACAGTAGTTGTAACCAGCTGCTTAGTATAAAAATTGATGGGATTCCTCATGTTCTTCCAGGATAAAGTCACCTCACTTGTGATAGATGCAGAGGAACTGGCAGCACTAAACAAGGATATGGTGGTCAAACAGACCTGTGCAAATGGACCTCGGAAAATAAATGGGTTGTCTGTACTGAACTAGAAGAAGTGGAGCTTTGAACACAAACCCAAAGGTTTTAATAGGCTCTCTGGGAAAATTCAAGTTTGGGTTGATCTGTGGTGCTTCATCTTGAAAATTTTTGTTTTGGGGTGATCGTCCTTTTTCCTTTGAACAACTGTTTATGAGGGTGGATAGTGACAGGACAAGGTGGAATGGTTTCAAACTGAGATGGGGGGTTTAATTGGATATTAGGAAGAAGTTTTTCACACAGAGGGTGGTGAGGCACTGGAACAGGTTGCCCAAGGAGGCTGTGGATGCCCCATCCCTGCAGGCATTCAAGGCCAGGCTGGATGTGGCTCTGGGCAGCCTGGTCTGATGGTTGGTGACCTGCACATAGCAGGGGGTTGGAACTGGATGAGCATTGTGCTCCTTTGCAACCCAGCCCATTCTAGGATTCTATGGTTCTATAATTCTATGATTCCATGCAACTTCCTTGTTAAATGAAAAATGCCACCTCAGAAAGAAGCGCTGAAAGGAATGAAATGCTGCTTAAATTGGAAATGAATGTTTCAACATTGAGTAAAGGAAAGAGAAATAAATGCTGCCTTTGTGGGACTTGAAACAAGTAAATTTGGATTGTATTTCCCAGTGTTTCTCTTCTTCTCCAGACTCCACTTTCTGGCAATGTTTGCTATGCTGTAGCCATTCTCATTGTTTGAAGACAATAAGTAGAGGTTTTAAGGACTAACATGAACACCTGCATAGTGGGAGACTGCATTGCAATTTCCAAGTGTAATTCCCAAATTGTCACTTGTCCTCTCTCTGTTTTTTAATGCTCCTCTCTTATTATTTTTGGCGTTTTTTGTCAGGTTGGTTGAATATGCTCCCTATGATATATATGAGATTGGCATAGGAAACATTTATTGGAATCATGAACATGACACTCCTTGTCCAGCATCTTTTTAATACTCCAAGTTGATATCTTCTCTGAATAGTTCCTCTGCTCAGCCTTCATTGATGGACATCAAAGACTTCATACAGCACCTCTATTGCAGAGACCAGTAAGTAAATCCACTTTTAAAGGTGGCATGTCAGGGACACTCGAGCAGGACTTGTTTCTTTCTTCTCCTAAATCTTGCAAACTCTCTTTTCGTTATTCCTGCAGCAACCTGTTGCTCAACAGTATCAGGTCAAAACCTTCTCTTAATACTGTATGATACGTGGTCAGATGTCTCAACATCAATAGTGCTCTGAGGCACGTTGTGCCTGCCTTCTAGCTTTGGGATGAATTGCAGGCATTCATTTTGAGAAGCCTGGTGTGAATTGAACTCTTTGAACTCTAGAGTACTGTTCCTTCACCATAGCATGGTCCATGGTCCATCACTGTTGGAAGTAGCAACCTTCTGTTGTAAATGGCTGTTGAGTGGCTGACTCATCTCTGTGTTATAAGTCAGATTCTCTGAGTGTGTGGCTGAGGTCTCTCAGTGTATATTGGCAGTTACTGACTGTTCCCACCTTTCATGGGGTGAAACGTGAGCTCCAAGAGATGTACAGGATTTACTACCATGGTGGGGGTCAGGATACTGCATTTCAGAAGAGAGATGCTAAATCTGCTTACAGATTTAGCACACATTGCTCTTGGCATCGTAAGCCATCCTGTAAGTCTTGAACGCTGACCTAAGGAAATATTTCTAATAAAGACATCTTATTTCCTGGAAATTAAAGTACATGAGAGGCTTTTATCTGAAATCATGTGGAGTTTCACTGTTAATAATGTAACAGACCGAAGAAGCCTTCATGTTGCAGGGGAAACAGTGCCACTGCCACTGCCCAAATATCCACTTCTTCTGGTCCCAAGGAATTAGAAGACAAAGGCCTTTAAAATGGAGTGCTTATTTCAGCAATTCAAGGTTTAAAACATAGGTGGGTATTCAAAAGAAACCTTTGCATGTTACTCCAAGAAAGATACAGATTAGATCTAGTAAACAGTCCTAATTTTGCCCAGCAAATCTGTAAGCAAATAAATTGATTTCAGATGTAAATGCTCAAGTGCCTTCCTGCACAGTGGCATGGCACTAGCATGAGTATCCAGTCACCCCTCTGCAATCACAGCCAGAGTGGGGGGCCCACTGGTCTGGGTGTAGGGAACATGGTTTTGATCACAGTGCTTTATGAATCTCTTAAGGTAATGTAACGAGTTGCAAATTTTTTATTTTCACCTGCATAAGCAGTGATTTCTGAACGTCAGGTGCACTTGCTTTAGACAGTAAATTCAGCAGCATAGCAGAGCAATGCAAAGCAGAGTATGCCTGGCTTAAAACTGCTTTGAGTTACCTGAGTGCAAAATGACTGGGCCCACAACAATACAAGGCTCTGATTTTTGGTTGATTGATGGGGATATCTGAGCAATTGGCAACTTGAAAGCTCCTACTATACTGGTGGGAATCCCAAACACACCTTGTCAAACTTCAGCTGGCATTCAGTTGAGTTGTCTTAAGTAACTCTCTAGTTGCCTCTGCAGATAGAAACACAGAATCACAGAAAATCCTGAGTTGGAAGAGACCCACAAGGATCAGTGCAAACCCTGGCTCCATACAGCACTGCCCAAAATCAAATCCTATGTCTGAAAGCATTGTCCAAATGGTTCTTGAACTCCAGCAGCTTGGGGCTGTGACTGTTGGTCTTGGGAAGCCATTCCAGTGCCCTCTCATTGAAGAATCTTTTCCTAATATCCCCTCATATAAGTCAGAAGGGCTGAAGTGACTCTTGCAAGTGCCATATCCTCCCATGTTGTTCCTGGATAAAACCTGTGCAACTAATTCAGAGTGGGTGCATGTGGAACTGATGGGCCATCAGGACCAACAACCCTTTGGCTGCAACCACTGCTGATCCCTCTGAGCATAGGTCAGGGCACATTATCCATGGGCACCGCTGAGCCATGGGGTAGTTCTTCAGATATTGCTGAACAATGGAAACAGTGGAAACGACTGCTTTGTTGAGTTGATCCTGCCAGCAGTCAATACAGCCATCTCACTTACACCAGTCATTACCAGCTCAGCATAGTTACAAGTTAAGGTCTTCAGATACAGCCTGGGCACTCAAGGCTTTCATTTTGCTGTGCATGTGATCACTGAACAGCGAACAGCACTAAGAATCACAGTCTTTTATTTTTATTTTTTATTATTATTATTATTATTAAATACAAAGCAGTGAATGAATATTACTGTAAACCTCCTGAGAACTCACCTCACACAGTACTGCCAGCTTTTAAAAGCATGGGCACATTAATCATAGGTAACAAGATCGAGTTCCTGTTTGCAGCTGACCCGCTATCTGAACATCACGGTGTGGCTGGTACTTCTCTTGGTACTTCTCTACCACAAACAGTTATGTCTGGTGGCATTCTTCTGTTTCCTGCCAGTTTTGTCCTACCTGTCCTGTTTTCCAGGCTATGTTAGCATCCCCTATAGAAGTTAATCAAGTTTTCAAGGCACAGCAAGCCCTCGTTGAACACGGTTTCATCAAGAAGAAGCAGTAAGCAGAAGAACCACACAACTAAGACAGAAGGCTAATTGCAGTCAGAGAGATTTGGCACTCTAGTTTTTCAGAAGTGCAAGAAAAGGCATTCGATTGCACATAGGTAATAAAATGTGACACAGTTTCTGTAGTGCTGTGTACAGCTTAACAAGGCCTCTGCTGCTGAGTCCTTGGATGAAAAAGGCTTTTACGCCTTGTTGCTGTAGTTTCTGAGTAAGTTCATCATGTTCCTTGCTATAAATTCATATGCACCTTTTGCTTCATTCTGAAGCTTTCATCTGCAGTTGTAGTTAAAAGTTGCAGCCAACTTTATTCTCTCGTTTCGTTCATGTGGAGCAATGTGGCTGCTATCAAAGTCGTGAAGTAGAAGGAGACACAGTGCAAAACTCAAGTGTTAAAAATAAACAGCAGGCCCAATCTTCACAATGCTGGGCTGGATTTCCACTGAAGTCAACTACAGCTCAGCCTCTCTTCTTGGGCACGCCTGTCTGTATGGACGTTTTATTCAGCTTAGCGGTCAGAAATTGTGCAAATTTGAATTTAATAAACATTCAAGAATGTGCCTTACAAAGCTCTCATTAAGCACATCCTCCCACACTGAGCTGTTTTGGCAGCTGCCTCCGACGTCTCCCAAGCCCATAAAAGCACCTGGGTAAGGTATCTGTCTGCTCGGACTCGGCAACCCATCCATAAATTCCTAGCTGTCATGCCTGTGCTGAAAGCTGTCAGGGGGCTGCTGGAGGAAAAATTATCCCAAGCTCCAGCCCTGTCTTCTGTCTAGACATATTCTCCTTACCTGGCATACCACGGAAGCAGGGAGGAGTGCTGGGAGGTTCACTGATACTGCATCTGGGAATCATGATAAATAGAAAACGTCTGAGAGCTGAAACTCAGCGTATAGATCTGATGTGCACAAGTGCCACCCAGCACCTGCAGCCTTGGAAGCTGTGTTGGAAGATAAGTGCGTTTTTACGTGTGCTCCTTAAGGTTGTTACCAGCCTCCTCCTCACCGCAGATCATTTAAGTGGGGAAATAAATGCCGGCAGCCAGGCTCTAATAAACAGCAGGAAAGATGCTTGGCTAGGGTAAACTGGGGTGGGCAGATGATAGCTGCAGCATTTGGGAGACGAGGAGGAGACAGCAAATGCATATCCAAGGACTGAATGCTCTATCGAGAGATATCTTTATTTAGATGAAACGTTATGCCCTAGCAATACTGGGGCTGCTGCTCTGGACTCTAAATGAGATTCTGTGCTGAGTCCAATCTTTGATGGAATTGGATTAACAATAGTGCTCATTCCTGCTTATTATGTGTCCGGCAGTACCTGTCATGTCTCTCTGGTGTTTGCAGCAAATAATGCCTCCAGCAGCTGTGAGGGCTTTGTGCTCCTACCAGAAATGCCGCCTCACAGAAGGCACACTTTGACCATTTTGGCTTTCACCATGGAGTGATTTGAGCCTTTTGGCCTTCCTTCCCTTCTGCCTGTGCTAGTTTGTGAAACAGCAGAAACTTCAGAGGGGACAACTTCATCTCCCACCTTCTTTCATAGCCTCGCTAGCTCCTCACCCCTCAGTCCCAGCACTGTAGTGCAGCCTCAACCCCTGCACAGGCTCTCATGACTGCTGTTGTGTTGGGAGCTGTTCCCTAACAGCTATGAAATCCAAGCTGGAAAGTTCCTCCGTTCTGCTTCATCATCTGCTACACCAAAACAGTCTTGAAAGCCCAGCTGGAGGCAGGGCAACTGAGGCACATGGGGAGGGTTGTCTCTAAAACAGCATGTTAGAGGAAATGCTTTAGATTTGACACACATGGCTTCAGTATGGGAGCTGTGTTTGGAGAAAATATGGAAATAATAATAGCACTTTTAATCTTCAAAGTGCTCTTCATTCGCTAACTAATGAGTGTGATGTTCAGCTTTACAAATTGGTCATACTCTGAAAATGCATTTGGTAGCAAAGAGCAAGGGTCAGGCTTTCTGCTACTGTAATGCCTTTGAAGTGTCAACACCAATCTCACGGTGTTAAAATTAAGGAGTAAAGTCCATTGTAAGGGTACAACATCTTGTTGAGTCAATGAAAATGGCATGCCCCTAAATGAGAGCAGAATCATACTGAAGTTAATGACATACTTACCACATATATCCTTCCATTGTAATGCATGTGATTACTGGCAGCATCTGCCCTCCCATATGGACAGACCTGAGCGTTAGGACATATGAGCTGGGTACTGGTGCTAACGTAAGACTGAATATACTCACGCTTCACATACTTGTTTCTGTGGGATCCTCTGCTGGAGGAGGAAGAATGTGTTCTAGGTTTTCCTCTGCACTCCAGGATCTAGTGAGAGCTTCACTATGGGTGTGAGGTTTTTCCCCCAGCTTTTGTCTGTCAAGGTGGCTGTGGCTCTGCTCCTTCCAGCCCAATTTATGGGCAGAATCATAGAATCATAAAATGGCTTGAGTTGGAATGGATCTCAAAGATCACCCAGTTCCAAATTCCTGCCTGGGCACCAAATCAGGTTGCC